GAGCCCGATGTGGGGCTCGATCCCAGGACCCTGGGATCATGACCTGAGTCGAAGGCAGACGCTTAACAACTGAGCCACCCAGGCGCCCTGGAAAAAAAAATTTTTTTTTCAGGCTAATAGGGATCACTAGCCATTTGGAAAAAAAAAAAAAAAAAAACCTCCAAATCCTGAGGATGATTGTTTTCAGTCACTAAAACTCAGCTGAACTGATTATCCTGGGATATGGGATAAGTACGGGGAGGGATATATGGGAAAGTAGAATAAGGATACTTTCAGACATTGTCTGAAACTGCTGGGAGAGGCAGCTGTTCTACAAGGAAGGATAAACCAAGGGAAGGAGAGGATGGGGGAGAAAAAGAGGGAGTGTGGACAGAGAGGAGACAGAGCCCAAGGCAGGAGAGGAACATCCCAACCCAGGGGCAGCGGATAGGAACAGGAGACAGGGAGCCAGAGATGGAGTCTCCGGGGGAAAGTGGCACTGAGGGAGCTTCTGATCTGTTTGTTCATTTGAAGAAATAGTATTCAGATAGGTTATGCAGTTTGGGAAGAATGAGTAATGGGGGACATGAGTTGAAATAAACCAAAAAACAGGGCAATTATTAACGCCAGAGGGGACATCAGCAAATTGTTCAGAAAATGAAATATAATCATTATATACTACTTGGCTAAATTCCATATGATATTTATAGGGTCATAGTAAGGAAACAAAAGATAAACTAAAAGTGGTGATGTAATTATTTTGAGAGGATGGAGGGGAGGGCAGGGTAGGAAGAAGGTCTGGGTGTGGTGTTAAATCCTCATCTGCTTTAACTAGAAGTCGATAAATAATGTCTGAAACTGATAAACCATGAAATAGTCACACATGCCTATTATTTGGAAACATGAAGGTAGATCCCAGAAGGAAACAACCAAAAGCAATAAGAAGTGTTTGCTTCTGGGGAGTGGCTCACAAAGGTGGTGAGGAATGGGGTAGGAAATTGTTCTTTTACTTTTAAAACCATGTAGACTGTCTTGACAGGAAAAAATGTTAAGAATGAATGGGAGGGTAAGAAGTAGAGATAGTGAATGTAGACATCTTTTCCAGGAACTTTACCAGTAAAGGAAAAGTAATATCTGATACTTACATGGTCTTAATACTCAGTACTGTGCTAAGTACTTTATGTGTATGAACTAATATAATCCTCCTATCAACCCTACAAAGTAGGTACTGTTACTATCCAAGTTTTCTAGATAAGGAATCAGTTCTCTGAGCTAGGACAGGGCAGACTGGGATTTGAACCCAGTCTGGATGGCTCCAGAGCCCACGTTCTTCACACCAGTGGGCAGAAGAAAGTGAAGAGTTGAGAAAGGGTTTATTTGTTTTTGTTTTTCATCTGTGGTAGGAAAGACGTAAGCAAGAAGATCCAGCCAAGAAGATGGCTAATGGGGCTGGTCCAATGTTGGACTCTTGCCAACCAGTTACGTGAAAGGAAAAAACAAAGGAGCCTGAGAGAGTAAACAAGAGGGTGTTGGAGAGCTGAGCTGCGGGATCTTAGACGCTAGGAAAAGAGGAGCTGGATGGCACTCAAGGAAATGAAGGAAGGGATCAAAAAGGGTGTGGAGAATGCAGAGAGATGTCCTTGTTTTCAGAGAAGGTGGGGCATGGGCTTTGAAGACTTGCCAGATGGAATGAAAGGCCATTCACTCGTGCACACATCTGTGCCCAGAGAGAGGTCAAGATTGTTATTTCCCAACATGTTATCAGGAAGTGGGGGAGCTTCTTTGTTGTCATTTTTGCTCAGCTACTCTCCTGATTGGCCGTCAGTTAATTTGCATTGTTATCTGATGAAACCCACAATGAGAGTTTCTAAACCGTTCAGAAGTGAGGCAGTCCCAGATAAGGACAAGGCCTGGGGTGTGGTCGCGGAAGTGGGTGCGGATGTGGGGTGGACCGAGGAGGTAAACAGTATGAGGTCACGACGATGCGGGACAGCAGCCCCCTGAGCACCTGAGCGCCGAGGGGGGGCCGGTGCGTTTCGGTGGCGAGCGCAGCGGAGGGGGCTGAGCAGGAGGCCAGCGGGCAGGGGGCCTCTGAAGGACGGAAGGTGGTGTCACAGATTCTTGCCCTTTGCTCCTCCTCCTTCCATCCTAGCTGTGCATGCTCTCCCTGGAAGGTGCAGGTGCTGGTCTCCGCCTCGCCCGTCGGAATGGATCCGTGGAGGAGGTGCTTTAGAAAGAATTGTTTCTCCTTGCCACCTAATTTTTTTTTTTTTTAAAGATTTTATTTATTTATTTGACAGAGAGACACACAGCGAGAGAGGGAACACAGGCAGGGGGAGTGGGAAAGGGAGAAGCAGGCTTCCCGCCGAGCAGGGAGCCCAATGTGGGGCTCGATCCCAGCACCCTGGGATCATGACCTGAGCCGAAGGCAGACGCTTAACGACTGAGCCACCCAGGCACCCCAACCACCTAATTTTTTAATATTCCCCAGTTGAGTCTTGCCCTTCAGTCGTTTGTGTTTTTCTTAAACTTTGTTTTGAAATACCTGTAGATTCGCAGGGAACTGCAAAGCAGAGCTCAGGGGAGTTTCACGCACCCTTCTCCCCGTGTGAATGTCTGAAACAATTCCAGTCCAGTACCAAAACCAGTACAAGGACATTGCTATGGTCCATAAAGCATATTCAGATCTCACCTGCCAGACACACACTCCTATTTGTACGAGTATGTGTGTCCGGGTGGGGGCGGGGCTCCCTGTAGGTTTACCACACGTCTAGCCTCGTGTATCCACCACTACAGCCAAGATCCAGAACACCCCAGCCTCACTAGACTCCATCATGTCACCCCTCTGTGGCCGTGCCCGCGCCCTCGGCCCCATCCCACGTGCCTGGCAGCCACCCATTTGGCATCCGTCTCCACGCTTGTGTCGTTCATGAGTATTACACAACAGAAGTCACGCTCTCTGTGTCCTTGTGAGGTGGGCTTCTTTTCATTCAGCATCATTTCCTCCAAGTGTATTCACTTGAGTAGTTTTTTAGAAATTTGTACTGCCTTCCGTATGAAACTCGTTCGTTCCCCACCCACATTTGGACTGTCTCCCCTCCTGGAACGTACCACTGCCTACCAGCACTCTACTGGTCTGCGTTCATCTCCTTCTGCGGACGGTCTCCCTGCCCTGTGCCTAGAGCCTGTCTGTTAGGTACTCCTCACACCATCTCGTTCTCCACTTGCAGGTAGAAGGCAGAGATCATGTCCAACTTACCTTTCTATCCCCAGCATCTAGTACAGTGCCTGAAATGCAGGAGGTACTCAGTAAATTCTTTTTTGAATGAATGAATGGTGGAAGCTGCTCTGTTTGGTTCTTATATTGTGTCTTGAATATGTGATCTTCCCAATGAGACTCTAAACTAGCCTGTCAGCCCCTCGAAAGTGGCCACGACATCCCGTTTACTCGCGCGCACTGGGTCCCAGTTAGGGCTGCGTTAGGTGTGTGTATGTGGTTCGGTGAGTATGTGCCTTTGTGTGTGTGGGGAGGAAGTGAGGGCGTAAGTGTTGATGGGGCCGGTTTCCCAGCTGCCCAGCCTGACTCCCCACAGTCAGCAGGACGGACCTGGAGATGTCGGGGCTGAAGACGCTCGAGCATGTGGCAGTGACCGTCTCCATCACTCATCCACGACGCGGCAGCTTGGAACTGAAACTGTTTTGCCCCAGTGGCATGATGTCCCTTATCGGCGCCCCCCGCAGCATGGACTCGTACGTATGCCTGCCCGTGCCTTCTGAGGTTTTTTGGGCAATGAGGGCCTTGGCAAGGAAAGGATAGAGGGAAAGTGGGCGCCGGCACGTCCTCAGCTGTCCTGGCACGGGCTGGCCGGGGCAGCGGGAAGCCATTTCCTCCCTGCTTTGTAGAAGTCACTTACAACGAGCAAAGCACTGCACTTTACTTTCTCTAATCCTTACAAGAACGATGCAGAGGAGACTTTACTCTCCTTTTACAAAAGAGGAAACAAGTCACAGAGCTAGTAAGTGCCTGAGGAAGTAACACTAAGCCTAGATCTCTCGAGCTCCCCGGCCTGTGCTCTCTCTACATTTGCTTTTCCCACTAGGACATGTTGACAGGAGTCCTTCATCTCAGAGGATCCCTGGGGAAGGGACAGCGCTTGGGGACCCCTTGTGGCACGCTCCCCAGTGGCTGTAGCTCAGGCCACAACGGCTATGTTTTGATGGTTAGGAAATCATGTTTGTGGGCAAAGGGTCGGTTTCCTGCCCCACGCCTTCCGGGTTTTCTACTCTTTTCTTCTCCCCCAGAGATCCCAATGGCTTCAATGATTGGACCTTCTCCACTGTGCGGTGCTGGGGGGAAAGAGCAAAGGGGACTTACAGACTCGTGATCAGGGATGTAGGTAAGCCTGCCTGCCCTTCCGTCTGGTCCCTCTGGAGCTCAGAGTCCCCGCAGAAACCATCCCATGGAGGAGACATAGGGTTGCCATTGGACCGACAGGGTAGATGCCAAGAAATATACCCCATCTAAAATATGGGCACTGAAATCTAAAATTGTTCATTGATACTACCTCTCATATTCCTTGGAGAAGTGACTGATCCATTTTTCCTCAGGATAGCAACAAAAATTCCTTGTTGAAACCACATTTCAAGTCCTTTCACATATAACCATCCTTCGACCAGCCCTGGTAGGCAGGTAAGGGCAGGACTAATTTTCACCATTTTTTGTTTTTGTTTTCTGTTTTTTGTTTTTTTGTTTTTTTTAAACTGAGGCCCACCCAGAGGTCTGAAGTGACTGGTGCAAGGTCATACAATATTCCAGTGAGAAGACTGGAAACCGAACCCAACTCTCCTGGCTTCCAGCCAAGTTAGGTATTCACTAGACTGCTGGTTTTCAAACCTTTCTTTAATTTAGTAGAAGGACATTTTTTTTTCCAAGCAAAATCCCAGCTGAAACCCTAAAATATGGAAGAGAGAAAGGCAGAACGTCTTTGCTTCGGAGTCACACCTTTCAGCCTCCCCGTCTCCATCCCTGAGGGCCCCCCCCCCCCCCGCGAGGCACATCTGCAGAACCCCTGGGCCGTGGGACACAGACCACTGCGGCGGCAGAGTGTGCGGGTCGAGTGCCCCCAGGCGGCGGGGCGGGCGGGGCTGTTTGCGCGGCCGGCGGAGGGGCGGGCCTCACGACTGCCCGGCTTGCTGCTCTAGGAGACGAGCTGCTCAGGGCTGGCACCCTCCGGCAGTGGCAGCTGACCCTCTACGGCTCTGTGTGGAGTCCAGTGGACATCAGGGACAGGCAAAGGTGGGTGCCAGGCGCGGGTGCGGGGGGGGCAGCTCCTGGGGCCGGAAGAGGCCACGTAGGGAGTTCCACCTCCCTGGGAACCCGCAGCACGCCCGCCCCTTCTTGCTGTGGGGCATCCTCCCTCTCCAGGTGTGAGGTGGGAGAACCAAGCTCAGGAGGGCGTCCTCATCTCTTTTGTTCTCCACAGACTGTTAGAAAGTGCCATGAGTGGAAAATACCTGCATGATGGCTTCACTCTGCCCTGCCCTCCCGGGCTGAAAATCCCCGAGGAGGACGGTTACACCATCACCCCTAACACCCTCAAGGTGCGAGGGCCCAGCCTCCAGCTCCAGGCGGGTGGGCAGGCAGGAGTGTCCTGGGGGATTTAGTCCTTGCTGGGGTACTCCAGGTGACTTGAGAAGTGGGGGGTTCGGAGGAGCTGGCCGGGTCCCCACTCGACTAGCTAGCTCTGAGAGAGCGCTCCTTGGGTGGGGGAGGCGAGTGCTTTGGGGCAGGAGAGGCAGTCCCTGGAAGGTGACAGACTTTCTGAGCTCATTGTTCTGGGTTGAGAAAAGCCACAGGCTTTGGGAAACCATCCCTAACTTGGGTGCTTGACTTTTACCAGACTCTGGTGCTGGTGGGCAGTTTTGCCATCTTCTGGACCCTTTACTACATGCTGGAAATATACCTGAGCCAGAGGAATGTGGCCTCTCACCGAGTTTGTAGGAATGGACCCTGCCACTGGCCCCAACGAAGCCAAAAAGCCAGAGAGGAGGGGACAGAACTAGAATCAGTGCCACTTTACAACAGCAAGGATCCAGATGCAGTGGAGACAGAAAGTGAGGGCCCTCCCACCACCTCTGATCTCCTTGCCCCAGACCTGCTGGATCGAGGGGACTGGGGCCTGTCCCAGGACAGGAGTACCCTGAACTGCCCTCATCATCACCTAGCCCCAGACCTGTTGCAGGGGAAAGAGGAGCAGATTTGCTGATGCAAGGCTCAACAGGCTCGACATGGGACAGGTTCTTCCTTCCCAAAGCTGGGGAAGCCTGGAAGGCTGCTCCGAAGTCCCGGGAGCTCTGGGGAGAAGGCAGCCCTGATGCTAACATCAAGAATCCACAGGCCGAAAGAGCACCCTCTGACTACACTCAGGGAGGGCGAGGGCCTTCTTAAGGTGCAGTGACAGAGGAATCGTGCCGGAGAATAGTGTGGCCACGCCATTGGATCTTCCTCCGACTGAACAGGAGCTTCTGGTGACAAGGTCTTGGACAAGGGCTTGGCCCCCCCTAGTTGGGCAGGCCTGCCTCCTCATTTCTCCTGGGCAAGCTGGTGATGTGGGTCATAGGGACCCTCACCCATGCATGGGTGGGACAGGGCCTGCTATGGCCAGAAGAGCCTCTCCACAGAAACGTCACTGGGGTCCCTCAGGAAGAGGGCTTGGGGTGAAGGCTGAGAAGAGCCCGTGGATATATGCCTGTCCTTCTAATGACCCAGGACCTAGAAACTGCAGTCTTTTCCTCTCTCTCCCCCCCTTTCTGCCTCCGCCTGGAACCTCAGACCTACTGGTATGGCAGTTAGCCCTCAGCCCAGCACACCCGCCCTGAAAGCAGCTGCCTCCCTGAGCCCTGATCAGAAGCCAACCTTGAACACACCCCTGACTCCTTCACCATCGCCCCCCACCCTCCATCCTGAAGGATCGGTACAATGCTCCTGGCAAAGCCGCGGATGGGCGCAGCTCCCCAGGGCCTGCGCGGCTTCACTAGGTGGGTCTGCAGCAGGACTATGACAGGGGTCGGCCACTGCCACTCCAGCCCTGCGACCACCCTGTCTTCCTCTGCAAAGCGCTCAGGGAAATGGCCTTACCCCCCGGAGGCCAGCCGTCTGCCTGACCGGCTGGGACTCCTCCTGGCCTGGGCCTCCTCCCCTCTTCTGAGCTAGTTGGTTGATCTAAAAAATTTTTTTTTTACGCTTAAGATTTGGGTTTCTCTTTTCACAGCAACATTTGGTTGAATGTTTTTCTGCACAGCTTTTCCAAAATAAAAACCTTCCACGCAACTCTGCCGCTCCCCATCCCCTTTCATCTGCCTCCCAGAGCTCATGAAAGTTGCCAAGTCGCTCCTTTTGGCCTTCGGTCCCCAGTTCCTGAGATCCACTCTCCTCCTTCCTCTGCCTGGGCCTCTGAAGGAAGCTGACCCCCCTGGGATCCTAGAATTCGGGGGTCCTTCAGAGCTGGCGGCTAGGAACACCCGTAAATGTTCCCTGCCTCTTGCCTGCTCATACCTCCTGCAACCAGAAGTGACTAGGGCAAATCAAACTCTGCCAGCCAGGCCTGAGAAAAGATTGATGTATATATTTGTTTCTTTTCTGAATTTCAACCCCCAAAATATTCCAGCAAAAAAATGGGGGGAGGTTGGGCTGGGTTTCCTTCAATGGGCATCTGCTGCCAAGGAGGATGGTGGACTTGCCCCCTGCCCAGCTACCCCCGGCCCACATCCTTCCCCCCTGCCCGGCCCAGGATGAGGAAAGACGGTGGGAGACGGTAGGGGAGCTGGGAGGAGGGTTAGGGGAGTGGTGCTTTGGGGTAAGAAGTTGGGCTGAGGCTGAGGGGTGGGGGAGAGCTGCCCAAGTGCGGTCACCTTTGCTCAGTGACGGAGCCTCGAAGCTTGGCCGGGGCTGAAGGAACTACACGGGTGTGGGTGAGGCAGGCTAGGCAGGATGGCTGCGGCCGGCGAGCTGGGGACGGGCAGGGCCGGGGGCTGGCCCTCTCCCTCTAACTGATGATCTGCCGAGGTCGTCCGTAGCCTGTCATGCCAGCCTGGGAGGCCCCTCTGTTGCTGCCCATCTGTAGGCCAATGACATGCTTGCCCTCCTGCAGTTGGCTCTCTGTGAATTCCCTCTTATGCTCCTGGGCTTTCCTAGAGGCGGGGAAACCAGGATAAAGACTCACCGGGACTGCACATTTTCCACCTGGGTTCTGTTTCCTCTGTCACTTCCTAGCCTCATCCCATGTGCCCCATCTCACTTCTCTTGCTTCCTTCACCTAGCTTGCCCCCCGGGGCCAGGGACACTGGCAAGCAGCAGGGACCCATCTTGCCCCTCACCTAGACCTTCACTTTGTACCTTCCGACCCTGCTGCCCCACCTCCCTTGGCTTAGCGGTTAGCCCAGGCCACCCCCCATCTCAGACAGAGACACAAGCTTAGTGCACAAGGAACCCCTGGTGGCCACGTACTTCATAAACCAGTTGGGGTCTCCACGGTAGTACCCATCATTCTTGGTCACTGCCAAGCTGCCCAGGGCCATCAGGGTCCTCTGCACCGCTGCCAGGTCTTTACCTGGGAGAAGAAAAAGGGATGGGGGGTGACCTTCAGGACCACGTACACGGGACTCCATGGCAGGGCCTGCCCCGCCTCTCCGAAAACTGGCCAACCCCAAGGGCTAAGCAGGCTGCAGTAGATCCTAGGATGCCCTTGAGTATGGTTGGCATTCCCACTCTGCAGACCTGTTGTCGTGGCATGCCTGGGTCATCCCTTGTCCTCTCTGCCTCAGCTTCCTGTCCTCCACCTGCCTCCTCCACCCCTCTTCTCTCTGTACCTTCAAAGAGGTCAACAGTCTGGAACATGTCAGTCTTGGTGACCCCGTAGTCCTCAGCTGCCTTCAGGAACTGAGCCACCTGCTCCATCTGCTTGAAGACCATGGAAGGAGGGTTCTCGGGCACCTTCACTGGCTTGGAGCCATCAGGGTACAGGCTGTTCACCAGCTTGCTCAGAATCTGCCGGGCAGAGAATGCAGCTTGGCACTCCGCTCGGGGTGCCTGCCCCACAAGCCCAGCAGGATGGGGAAGCTCCAGCCCCCCTGCACTTCTGTGAAGTGCCACTCACCACGCCATTCTTCAGCCAGACCTGGAAGCCCAGGCGCCCGCGGTCCGGGCGCCCCACATCTGGGCCACACTGCACTATGATCCACTCCACGAGCCGCTCCTCCAGCTCCTCGTCATACTTCTTCTCAATTTTGGATTGTACTTCGCGGCTCATGCCGTAGGAAGGACCCTTGTTGGCCATGTTGTGGGAGAGCTAAAGCAGCACCAGCCAGAGAAGGGAGAAGGTCAGAGGATCAGAGAACCAGCTCTGCTCTCACTTGTGCTAGGCAGGCCTTGGAGCTCCTAGGGGGATGGGCGGGGCGTGGGGGGGGGCGTGCCCATCCATCCTAGACATTTATTTACCTCCCCTGGTATCCTCATTTTGTTTTCATGGCACTGCCCATCATCCCCTCTGTCCAGGGAGCCTCTCTGAACTTAGGGACCAGAGAAACGGGAGACCAGATCTTTCGAAGTCTAGAGCAAGGATCAGTAAACTGACTTTGGTAAACAACCAGAGAGTAGTAGGTATTTTAGGCTTTGCTGGACATATGGTCTCTGCCATTGTAGCATGAAAGCAGCCTTAGACAATACGTAAACAAGTGAGCATGGCTTTGATCCAATAAAACTTTATTGACACAAACAAGCAGCAGGCTGCGTTTAGCGTATGGGCCAGACAGAGTTTGACAAGCGCTGGTCTAGAGCATTCTTTCTTTGCCAAGATTGGCCACAGAGGCACTGGAGATGCCTTCCAGAGGAGGCCGCACTGCTCCCCTCCCCCAGCGCCAAAATAAAGCAGCAGGTTTCTTTGTCCAGGTAGGCGTGAGGTGGTTTGTGGGTTCTGCCTTAAGTTACAGAGTTCTCTTACCTCTCCCTCCACTTTATCCTCTAGCCCCAAAGCTGGAACTCCAAAACCCAGCTCTTTGCCAGATCAGCCCGGCCTCTGGCCTGCAGCTGCCGAAGAGGCTCACACTTACCCACCCCTGGCAAGGTCTAGGAAGCCAGCAAAACCCACAAGCCTTTGGCCAAGAAGCTGCACTTCCTCAGGTGGGCCAGGAGAGAAAGAACTGCTAGACCCATGGATTTTCCCTTGTGCCCCAGGTCCCGCCACTCTAGTAGCTGAGTAACCGAGGAGCCAGGGTCCTCGGGGGACATCCCAGAGCCAAGAATCTGCCAGCCAGAACATGGGGAGCCCCTCCCTGTGCAGACCAGCAGCAGCTGCTGTCCTGAAGGCCTGGGGCTGGCACTGCTCGGGAGAGCTCCAGGTGTCACGGGGGGTGGTGCCCAGAGCTCCCTGGGAGAGCCCTCCGAGAAAGGGACCAGATGAGGCCAGACCCATCACCTGGCCTCGGAGAGGTCAGAGGTTGGGAGGGAGAGAGTGGTCTGAGGATGGGGGTAGTCCGCACACTCCCCGACTCCCTCTCTTGCCACAATCAAACCCTCTCCCCACTCACCACCGTGGAAAGCAGAGTGAGCGTCCTCACTTGCCATGGTCCCCAGTCAGCTGCCCTACCCTTCCTTCCCCCAGAGCTGACAACTTTCCTGCATTCAAGTTCCCCATCTGTGCACGGAGGAGGGTGTGATCCATCTCAGAGGGCTGTGCCTTCACCCAGGCACTGTCTGGGACTCCCTCCCAGCATCGCCTCCTGCTGGTGACCTGGGGGAGCCGGCCCCTGACCCAGGGACTGAAACAGCGTTCTTCCCAGCCGCCCTCCACTCCTTTTCCAAGTCATCCCCTGAGGGGACAGCAAAGCTTGAGACAAAGAACGCGAGATGGATTCATCTAAATTCCAGCTATTGGGCAACTCATTTCTCTCGGATTTGGAAAGACCCAGAGGGCTGGGCCACCTTTGAGCGCCACCACCCATCTCCCCCTCCAGCTGACCCCAGAGAATCCAAAAGCAGTCTCTGCTCTGTTTCCCTATAAACAGCCCAAGCCCCTTCCTTCCCCACCCTGCCGTGTGTCTCACACCCTGCCTCCCAATCACTGGGGGTCAAAGACTAGTGGTCAAAACCCACAAGTCAGCTGGGACCAGGTGACTTCGGCCCATCCTTCATCCTGGCCCCGGCTCAGCCTTCACCCCACCAGCCCAGGCAGGCAGCATGCATCCCAGGGGTCCAAGCACCCACCACCTTCCACAAGCCTATCCTCCTGGTACTCTCCACCCCACCTGCCCTCCCATCTGCCCTCCCTCCCAGACGGTGGGCTGGGCCTGCGAGGAACAGGACGGAAGCAGAGTGCCCCCCCATCCCCCGCCGCCCCCACCAGCGTTCAGTCTAGGAGATTCAGAGCAGACAGTGAAGGTATCGAGGCTCATGGTGACAAGGACACAAAGTTGCAGCCCCTAGTTCTAGAGACAACATTTGGATTTTGATCAGAACAGGGAGGGGGATGAAAGGCACCCCACCCCCACCCTTCTCCCTCCTGGTGAAGAGTCTTGAAGTGGAGAATTCCAAGAAATCCCTCTCAGTCCTCTGACCAAGACCTCCCCAGTCCCACCTTGATGCTGCTGGGAAGAGGAGAGGGAGAGGGTTGCCGGCCAAGCCACCCAGAGGCCTTTCTAGATAAAGCCTCCTGGGACAGGACAGGCAGAACAGCCTGGCTGCGCTTTGATCCTCCTGCCCTGTGGCTCCTGTCAGCTTCCCCTCCCCCGAGAGAAAGAATAAAGTCCAGCTGTGAAGGGGCAGCGTGCACCTGCTACCACAGGACCCCACAACAACTAGCAGAACCAGGGGTCTCTCCAGGACTCCTGGGCCCCCTCTCTCTTCGAAAGAAGACACAGCTAACAGGAGTGAGCGTCGAGCGTCTGTGGATCTCTGAAATGGCAGGAAGGTGGGCTCATCTCAGTTCTGGGGACAGAGAAGAGCGGCCCTATTCACTGCCACCCTTTGGATAGCAACCACTGAGGGGAAGCAGCCAGACCCTTCAGGAAGGGCCCAGGGTCCCAGGCCCACTCAGGCCAACGCTGCAAAGCTCCCGCAGGGCCCACCCCTCACCCCTCTCTCTGCTGTGGGGTCACCTCCCATTTTCAGAGGATGGAAGGAGCCGTGTGTCCGGAAAGCGGCTCTCATGCAGGTCCCCGCGCCCTGCCACACCTGCCTGTGGACCTCCCCGCTGCCTCAGTGGCTCCCCGGGGCTTCTCTCTTGCTGCTCAGGCCCTGGGTACCCGCCCGTGGGCCCCTGCTCTCCAGCACTGATGTATTCGCACACCTCCTCGCCTCCTTGTACAGCCTCCTAGATGGACACCAAACAGAGCCTTGTGTCTAACCCAACACCTTGAGCCCATCACCCACCCCATAGGCATGACAAGGGCTGACTACGGGGAGTCCCCCTCGCACCCGTCGTCAGGGTCTTCACCATCAATCCCTCTGCATCAGCCAAGTCATCCTAAACATTTCAACCAGCCTGAGGCTGCCCAGTCCAAGCAATATGGGATTCTAGTAACCTCACCACCCCCATCAAGTAGGACCACTTCCCCATCTGGAGATCAGGAATGCCCGCTGATGGAGAGGGTGGCCTTCTCCAGCCGAGGAGCTGGAGACCAGGACCTCTGAGGGCCCTGTCCCCAGTATACCCACTGCTACCATCAAGCCCTAGCCTACCTTCCCTCCAACCCGGGGATACATGCACTTACAGGGGTTCCTCGGGGCTCGCAGGAGGGAAGGAGCTCTCCGTGTCTGAACTTGGACAGACAGGATGGGGCGCTGGCGGAGTGGGGGGTTTAAAGGGCTGCTGCTGTGGTGATGTCAGCCTCCCCCGCTGGCTCACCCCTTGGCCCCCTCCCTGCTAGAAGAACCCAGCCTGTTCCCCACCCCCCGGCCCCCCCAGTGACTCCACACAGGCTCCATATTTGGGGAAAGACACCAAGTTGGAGCAGTCTGCCGGGGGCTGCCCGAGACATTCTCTGCGTGCTTTGGAGATGGAGCGGGCGGGGCGGAGCTGAGCTGCCGAGGCCGGGAAGCCGCCGGGGAAAAGCCTTTTATGGACAGGACCATGAAGGCCTTCCCTGCTCTCTGGACTTAGGGCTGCTCCTTCTTCACTGCTCCCTGCCCCCTAGTTTGAAGGCAGGGGAAATTCAAAAGGGTCTGGCCAGAGAGAGGGGAAAGAGCTGTGGGGAATCCATCCCTGAGGCTGGTGGTGGACCAACCAGCCACCCTGTCCTGGGGGTTTCACTCTCCTTAGAGATAGGAGCTAACCTTTACTGAGAACCTACGACATGCCAGGCAAATGCTTTGCAGATGCTCTCATTTAATCCTCAGGGCTATATCGTGGGAGCATAATTACTAACCTCATTTTCAGATAAAGAAACAGGTTCAGAGGGCCTGAGTAAGCTCAAGGCCACGTGCGGGGGGTTGGGGGGGGGCGCACGAGTGGCGGAAGCTGGGTGTCCCTGCTGGCCCCCGTGTGGGAGGGGACTGGCTGGCAGACTCACTCCTTCAGTCGTCCCACCCTGCTCAGGTTGAGAGCTTTCGGTGGGGGTGGGTCTTGAGTTCCCTGCTTTAGCTGCGGGTGGAATCTGGGGGCTCAGCGGCAGCTCAGTCCACCCTGGCCCCTATCCAGGCGGTTTCTAAGGCCTGGCAGGGCTGAGACACCAACACTGGGCAGGAGGCTCAGAGGCTGCTGTCCTCCCTCCCTCCCTGTGGAACAGTCCCTACCTACCCTAGAGAACAGACTGGGCTCTATCACTCCTGGAAGGAGACCCACTCATATGTGGCTTGCACTTGGCCTCAGGGGTCTGGGGAAAGGGTACCCGAAGAAGGTGAGACTACCAGTGGGGTCTCTTGGGCTGCCCACTGTGAGGGCACCCCACCCCTTTCCCTAGGGCGGCCTGGCAGGGAGGAGCTAACACTCTCCACCACACCCTGGACACCCTCCAGGAGAGGGGCAGCTGAGCTTGGCACTGGGCAGTGGGCGGCGGAGGGGACGCCCATCACAGCCAGCCTCCTAACGCCTGAGCCCAGTGACGCAGAGCTGGAGTGCCCCCCAGTGGTGTTTGCTGGGAAGTGCAGGGAAAGGGGCGGGGGATCTAGAGGGCAGCGCCCCTCTGCTTAGGTCTGAATTCACCAGCTTCCTGGCCCCCCAGATCTTGGCCTCCTGGGCCTGTTGGAACCGAAATCAACTTTCTAGGGTCGTTTCCAAATTCCCTCTTCTGGGAGCCCGCCTGCCCTCTGTGTGCGCCTTTAGCCACCATACAGTCTCCATCTTGGGTCCCCCGAGGACCAGCCCCGCCTCGGCCTGCACTCTCCTGGCCATTACAGTCACATCAGGCAGCACTGGCCACACTCGCAGCCGGCCAGGCTGGGAGAGGCTCAGGCCAGAAGGGAGGCCGGCCCGATTTGCAGGTGAGGGGCCAAGTGGGCAGAGGCTCTGCCATCTGCCAGGTAAGGGGGGGCGGCGGCGGCGTGAAAACTTCTTCACTCCACCATCCTCACTGCCCAACACGGTGCCTGGCACGGAGCAGGCCCCTGGTACATGTTTCCTGAGCTGATGCAGTTGCTCAAAGGGGAGGAGAGACACGGGGGACTCGAGGACACATGGGGAAAACAAGGGAGACTCTCTTTTGTTGAAAGGAGAAAGGCAGACCACAAGAGCTGGGAAGTGGAGGGCCTCTGTCCCACCCTTGCTTCTCAACACCTCCACCCAGAACGGGGGAGCAAACAGGGGCCCGAGAACCGCGTCTGGCTGTTTCTTTAATTGAATGCAGACTCATTCATAGAAGACAGAAATGCAACCACAGCCTGGAAACAGACATTAAACGGAGTTCTGAAAAGAGATCCAGATCCACCTCCTCTCCCCAGCTCCAGGGAGAGCTATAAAAACAAGTTGGGCAGAATAAAACACACTCCCATCCCCAAGGCAGAGGCCCAACCTGGCCTCCCCCAGTCTTGGCATCTGGAATGGACCAGGTAGGGTGACGGGGATCGAAGGACCAGAGCAGCTAGGGGCCCAGAGCTGGGGCAACTCAGTGTAAACTCCAAAGTGTCCTACACATACGCGTGTGTGTGACTAACACAAAACTTGGCCGAAGACAGGACGGAAACACAGAAGCCAGCCCTGGGTCCTAGAGTGAGGCTGGACCAGGGACACTGAGGGGAGCATCGTGTCCCTTCCTGAGCCTCCTTCTAAGATAGGCACTGGGGCTCCCACGGCTGTGAGGAGGCAGGAGAAGCTGGGTGCCTCATGTACCCCTCCTTTGCCCCTGGACATTCTTGGGCAGTGTCAACGGCACTGGAAGGCCCCCAACTGGGGCTTGGCAGGACGGAGGGCTGGAAAGAAAAAGGAAGGGAAGGGGGGAATTTGTCTCTCCCTCCAATCCTGGTGCCAACATCAGTCTGGGGGCTGACGGGATAGGAAGGTGACCTCTGAATTCAGCCCCTCAAATCAAGGCGACTCTCACACGTGGACTGACTCTTACTACTACAGAGCCAGTCCCAAGCACAGGTCAGAGGGGGGAAGCTGCACTGCCTGAGCCCCTCTTAGGCCTTAGCACCAAAAGCCTGGCACCAGCTGGCTGGTCTCCAAAATCCTTCACCCCCATTCATCCCGACTTGAACGGGCAGTGATGGCAGTCAGGGACAGCCCAAAGGGCGGTGGGACCCTGGCGCAGGACAGAGAATCAGGCCCAACCAGGCCCTGGATTGGAGCTCGGGAAGAAGGGCTTGGGGTCACAGGCTCCTGGAGAAGGCAAGGACGGGCAGAAGAGATGAGATGGGCAGGGCAACACCACTTCCCTCCTTCCTCCTGCAAAGGGACAGATGGGAGAGCCAACGGACAGGGCCCGTGAGAGGCCCTCAACACTGAGAAGCAGAAGCCAGTGGCCAACATCTGGGGCTTTAGGGGAGCAGGCCTCCTCCCCGGCAGAGGGCAGATGCAGGGCTCACGGCCCCCGCCACGACTGTCCCAGGCCGAGCGTGGGCTAGATCTCGCTGTCCCGCCACCACCCACACTGGGCCGCAGGGCGGGGACTCACACCCCCAGAGCTACGGAGGCTCTGGGCAGTGAGGCAGAGGAGCTCGGGGGCCCCTGTGAGGAAAGCAAGGCGCCTGGCTCCTGCTAGAAGACGTAGATCTTGTCCCGCTGCACGGTGTCCAGGTCGTCGTCCAGCGTCAGCAACACCTGGCGGGGGGGGTGTGGACGCCGAGTCAGGCGCAGGCCGCCAGGCAACCTGGGCCTCTACCCACCCCCGTGCTGGGGCAGGGCAGCCTCACGGACCAGGAATGACCCAAACATGGCAATGGAGGACAGGAAGTGCCAGATGTCGTGGTCGTCAAAGAAGTCCAGGAGGATGCAGTCGCGGTTGTGCTCCCGTGACTCCGCAGGCGTTTTCTGGGGAGGGATAACGGGGAGAGCCACCTGGGACGCTGCCCACCCAACCGGGGCCAGACCTGGCCTGCGGCTCCCTGCGTCCGCCCTGCTGCGGCGCCAGGCGCGCGCACCCTCCTCCCGACTCACCCTTGCCCTGTCTCCCACATCTGAGAATCGGCTCTTTGTTGCAGATTTCTCCCCGAGGATGCTGGCTTCTGCCCTTTCCTTTCCCTTAGACCCTCCTCCCTCCGATTCTTCTGCCCTGTATCCGAGCAGCGGGGTGAGTTACCTCGAGACGCTAGAAGACCTCGGAAGCCTCCTACCTTGGGTCCCTGCCTTGGAATCAGCACCTGCAGGCTCACTCGTTCTCCAGAGCGTTTTCGGCGGGTCACCCCCCCTCCCCGCCCAAGGACAACAGGAGCCATGACTGTGGGCCACGACCTGAGGCTGCTCAGGGTCCTCCCTGCTCCCCCATAACCCTATCCAACCAACACCGACCAGACAGCACTGTGTCTGGGGCCATCTGTGCCAAATGCTGAGATGACAGCGACTGTTCTGCCCTCGGGAGTTCACAGTCTCACTCAGTTCCCAAATTCCTGCTCTCGCTGACCCCGAATCTGCCTCGTCTAGTTCTGCCTCTGGGTCATGACTCCGGTCACAGCATCGCTGGGCCACAGGGCCCTTTCTCATCACCCAAGGCCTTTAGGGCCATGAGCAAGGTCTGCCTCCACCAGGGAGCTTTCCTGGACCTCCTCTGTCCTCGCGTCCATTCCCCCTTCCCGTCTTGTCTATATGCTTCGCCTTGTGTATCATATTGCAAAGAGCAGTCCAGGAACTGATGGTCTCTCTCTCTCTCTCCTGAACTAGATTATAAGTACTTCAAAGGCAGAGACTCGGCCACACTTGGTTCTGATCACAGAATCGAAACGTGATTCATGGCAGGTGCCTATGAGGCAGAGGGGAGAGCCTGGTACTTCTGGTTTCAAACCCCAGCTGTGCCACTCGGGGGCTGTGTGCCCCTGGGCAGGTCCCTTGGCCTCTCTGAACCTCAGTTGCCTCATAGGTAAAATGAGGGGAACCCCCCATGCTGGCATGTTGAATGTCAGGAGGGTGAAGTGGGAAGGCAGCTGTGAAAGCATGGTTAGCGCTCACAAACGATGTCTGTGAAGAGAAGTGGCCATTCGTCGGCTCACAGTGAGCCTGCGGGCAACTCCCCACCCTCTCGGCGGGATCGCTACTCACCTGCCAGGTGCTGAGTCCCTGGAAGAAGAAGAAGAGTGCAAAGCCCCACACCACGGAGGTGCAGACAATGCAGAGCAGGGGGATGAGCTTGATCCGTTCCCCACTGCGTAGCTGGGCGGGGAGGGAAGAACAGCCTGAGGGCCAGACCCTGGCCCAGTCCGTTTCCCTGCCTGCCCTTCGTGCCACTTCTCAGCATACAGGATGGATCCTTCAGGAAGCCTTCCTAGATTCACACCCTCACCTCGAATAGCTACACAGTTACCTTGTCCCACACCAGCAGCCTGGTGTCCTCACCCCTGATGTCCACCCTGGCTAGGCCTCCATGTGCACAGAGCCCCATGCTGGCGGGGTACACTGGCCAGGGGGCTCTCCTTGGGCAGAGGCTCCTCTCAAAACTGGAAGGCAGAAGGGTCCCTGCGAAGCGCCCGGCCGTCAGAGGCCCCTGCCTCTGCAGACCTGGTGAGCCCCAGCTCAAACCCCTCTGCACCACACGGGGCTCTTCCCTCCTGCAGGGCCATTCCTGGAGTAGGGAAGGGTCTCTGGATACAGCTGGAATACATGCAAGAGACTTTGGCCTCTCCCCTCCTAGACCTCATCGGCAGAGATGAAGGAAAAATTCCCACTCCCTCTCAACGCTACCCTGAAGCAGGCTGTACCCAGCTCCGTCCTGCAAAGGCAGGGCACCTGGCGGAGGAGGCTCAGCAGCCCCCACTCACCTTCATAATAATGTAGAAGGCGAAGTACAGAAGCAGGTTGCAGATGCCAATGGCCAACAAGTAGGAGGCGAAATCATTGGGGCGCATGATGAGCCCATAGGCAGCTCTGGCAAAGGGAGGAAGAGCTGGTGAAGCAGGGGAGGGCCAAGAGCAAGAAAGGGGCTCTCCCTCACCCCTACCCCACATTTTATTATGATGTGAGCCTGGGTTCAGAGGCCCACAGAAATTCTAGAACCCGAGGTGCCAACATCTCTCTCCTGAGCCCCCATTTCTCATGCCCAAAGCTTAGAATTTGTCTGTGGACCCCAAGGCAGCCAGTGGCTGGCCCAGTCCCCAGCTGTCCGCCCAGCCAGGCTACCACAGACAATGGCCAGACTCACAGTGACCAGTTGATAATGTTGCCCATAACCAGCAGCACCATGCGGTCCTGGAGGGAAGCAGAGACACGGGGACTGAGAGGGGGAAGAGAGACAGGGAGAAAAGTGGAAGAAGGCCCAAGTCAGCCGGTCCCCACCCTCCCCTGGGCTCTCAGCGGCACCCACCCCCCCCACCCAGAGGGACAAGAGCAGATGGAGGAGGAGGGCTGGGGAGCTGGGCTGGTACCACATAGAGGGGCCCGCTGCACTGCCGGATGCAGTCTGTGTAGAGCACGTGGAGGATGCGGCGGCAGATCCCCGAGTCTGCAAGAAGGGCAAGTGCTGACGGGCACCCCTCTTTCCCCGGCCCCTGGCCCGCGCAGCAGAGAGAAGCCCAGGCCTTCGGAGGGCACGGCTATGCCAACCCTCATCTAATTCCTCACTCTGTGATTCTTCCAGGGCCCCCAGCCAGAGGGCAGAACCCAAAGTCGGCAGTGAGTCCGGGTCCCCAAGGCCACCGAACCCTCATTCTGTGGGGCCCAGCTGCCCCCCTCCACGCCCTGCCCCGGGCATGCCCTCACCCAGCTTCCAGCGGCCCATGTAATAGAGCTGGGTGCTGAGGAGCAGGGTGGCGATGATGTGGATGACGGAGAAGACGATCCAGAACGCTGTGTTCCCTTTGCCGAACACCTGTCGGGGGGCCGCCGTCGCAGGGCTGAGCAGGCGCTGAGGAGAGCCGCTCCCCCAGCCCGCCCTTCCTCCCGAGGAGCGGGGCTCGGAGCAGGGGCCGCGGGTGCGCGCACACGTGTGCACCTCCCCGGTGGGGCGGGCGCCGCGGGCCAGGGCCTCACCACGCCCAGCACGGAGAAGAAGATGACGACGGCCAGGCAGGCGTAGGCGCTGTAGGCGCTCGCGTTGATGTCTGGGTGTCGCTTCTGGTAGAGCTTCAGCATGCACAGCCCGGCAATCATGTACATGAACGACGTGTCTGCGTTGGGGACAGGGACGTGAGCTGCGAGCACATCCTCCGAACCGCAGCAGGGGGCCCCCAGCCCCAAGAATCCGGGTGGCAGAGAGAGCCCCCGCGCCTTCTCGTGGCCACAGAGCGAGCCGGCACGCTGACGTTTGAACTCCAGTCCCGTAACTGTCCCTAGGACACCGCACCGCCGCCCCCTGGCCGGCACCCAGCCTGACCTCCCCTGACAACACGGGCCATAGTCTGAGCGCCCTGAGGTCAGGGACCATAGCCCAATTATGTTCGTTTTCTCGGTGTTTATCCGTGCCTTTCCATAGAACACACAACGAACGAGTGCGGTTGCACCGAGCTGCCTCTTTTCTATAAACTAGGACATGTGTGCCCACAGGAAGCCCAGCTCCGGAGTCTCCCACAGGGCTGAGTGCTGGGGATCCCGGCGGGGAGGACCTCAGGCAGGGCCTGGCTCTCGGTGCAGCTGGGGGAGAGGGAGGCCCCACTCACCAAACTGGAAGTTGGTGTAGTTGGGGCAGACATGATAGCAGGCACTGAGCAGCCCCTCCATCATCAGCGCTGTGCCCATAGCATAGAACAGGCCGAAGTGTTTTGGGATCCCACATTCCTGTTGGGGAGAAGTGAAGGGAAAGAGGAGGTGAGGCAGGGGGGAGCCGGGGGCGGGGGGGAGGGAGAAAGGGCAGAACCGAAGAGAGGGCGAGCAGGAGCGAGGAATGGAGAGGCATGTGGGCAGGGCAGGGCAGGGCCGGGCGGGGCCGGGCGGGGCCGGCCTGCTAGAAGGGCCTGGAGCCACGGCCTCAGCGGCAGGTGCTCTCTCACCAGGGCGTGGAGGTCATTGCGCAGCAGGGCCCGGTTGTGGTTGATCTCCCGCTGCAGGATGATGAGCAGGAAGAGGAGCCCCAGCAGGATGTACCCCAGGTTGCTCAGGATGTTGTTGAAGGCGCTGGAAGGGGCGACAGGGGGCGCTTGGCCTTGGCCCCATACTCTGGCCTCTTCCCCACCTAGGGCAGCCCTGGGCAGAGCGCCGGCCCCCACTCCCCCCATACCCTAGCTCAGCCCCGATCTCCACCTGAGGTTGCCCAGCGGGTGGGCGCAGAGGAAGTTGTAGTAGCAGATGTCCTGATTCCCGGTGACATTCACCACCTGCAGGGGAGCGGCAGGGGCTGCTAAAGCACCTGACTCGGCCCAGAGCCCAGGCGAGAGGGAGCCAGGCCCAAGCCCGGGCCACACCACACAGTCCCACGCGGCAAGCGGCTCGCGGGCACATCCGTGCGCCGGGCCAGCCCTCTCTCACTGCCCTCCCCTCCCCCGGTGCTAGGTGGAGCCCAAGATCATGGGGCATGACTGCGACAGAGGGTCTTGCCTCAGAGCACAGAGAAAAGGGAAGAGAAACCGAGACCTACCAAGTCCCATGGGCCTAGTTGCGTAAGCCCTGTGACAAGCTGCGGAAAGTGCCGTCACTGTTGCGTGCTGCCCCATTTTGCAGATGAGAACACTGATGCTCAGGGAGCTCAGCTCAGCCAGCCCATGAGGCAGACTTAGGATCTGAACCTGGGTCCTGTGACCTACGACCTGTACGCACGCCAGAGCCCCAGGCTGGGACGCAGGGCGAGGGCGCTCCGTACAAGCCCAGGGGAGCTGCTCACCGTCTGGTACGTGATCACCAGCTGCACCACAGGAAGTGCATAGAAGACAGCGATGGTGGCGATGTTCCTGCGGAGTGGGAGGGCAGTGGTGAGGAGGCAGGACCCGAGACGCCGCCGCCACATCACCCTGCCAGTAACAGGAAGCCCGGCCCCCGCGGCCCGCTCACCAGAAGTAGATCTGGTACTTTTTCCGAAGGATGCGTTTGTCCTTGCGTGCCAGGTCGGCCACGTAGAGGTATTGCTGGGGAGAAGCTGGAGTGAGCCCCGCTTTCCCACCGCCCGGGAGACTGGGAGAAGCCCCTCTTGCCCAGGTTAGAGGAGGACATGAGAAGTCCCCCCACCCCTCCCACAGGCCATAATTCTGCAGGGCATGGCTCCAGGCCACCCCGTTGCTGCTGGCCGATTAGTCTGGAAGGGCTGGGAGCAGAGTCGGCTTCCCCTGGAATCAATCCTGCCCCAGTTGAGCTCTTTCCCTTTGTTCCCCTAAGATGTCACCCCAGAGGGAGATGTGCTGGGGCCTGAACACAGAATCTCCTTTCTTTGGGAAACCCACGGCCAGGGCCAGCCCGCATGGCATCGGACCTTGGTGCGAATGACATTCTTGTCCGAATCGATGTCAGTCAATGTGTCGTAGTCATCCTCCTCCACAGAGCTCATGGAGTCCAGGCGAGGCCGAGTGCCCACAGGGTCTAGGGAGCGATCTGGGGTGGGCAGGAGGGAAGAGTTAACCAGTAGGCACAGAGCCCAAGGTCTGTCCCCACCCACCTGGGGCAATTGTCACAATTACTGGGCAGTGGGAAGAGGCAAACTATGGGCTCAGAGCAGGGGTGGAGGTGGGCTCAGGCCCAGGGCAAAGGTATTGGGTGCTCCTAAGTCCTTGAGGGGAACAAGGGTGGGTTCTGGGAAGAGGCCACCAAACAGGTGGCCACCAAACTGAAGTAGGACTTCCAGGCCAGGACCCTGAGCAGACCTTGGGCCCCAGACACAAGCAACAGGACTGAATTCAGCAGAAGTCATGCTGATTAGGTGCCCAGCCGTGTGGGTTCTGAGAGGACACTGCCTTGGCCCCCACTGGGTAGAGACCCAGTGGGCTCTGGGGTGCAGGCAAGGGTGACAGGCTGCCTCTAGGAAGAGCACCTGCTCCTGTTCTTTTCTGGTGCCTTCGGAAGCTTCCTCCTGCGACCGTGCCTGACCGGAGCCCCCAGAGGCCAGGACATGACACCCCTGCCCATGGGCCCTACCCCGGCAGGCCAGGGAGTCAGGGTTTGGCAGCAAACCACAACATCCGGCCTGGGGGCGGTTGGGTGCCAGCCCACCAGCATCGAGGCCAGTGCCTGCTTCTCTCACAAGACACAAGAGCGGGCGATTATTGGCATTAGATGGGGAAGCCATGCACAAAGCGTCTCCCTGGCCCCCTGGCAGGAGCTGACTGGTGGAGCAGCACCCCCCCACCCCACATCTACCCATGGCAATGCACAGCTGCCGCATCTGGCCAAAGGGGAGGCGCCGCTTGAACTGGTCGTGCCCTTCAAAGGAAAGGGAAAGTTACCGGGAAGTGGGGCCAAGGAGGAAAGGCGGAGAGAGGAGGGGGCGGGGAGACAGCAGCCCCTCTCCGGGTGCCAGAGCCTGCCAGAAGGGGCTGGTGCCCTTCACCACGCTTCACCCAGCCTGCTCGGCCCCGCCGGGCTCACTCACCCTGGTAACCGTAGGAGAGGTCTCCGGTGCCCGTGCTGTCGACCAGGCCGTCCGTGGACCCGGAGCTGTTCTCTGCGGGGCACACGGGACGCGGTGAGGCCGGTGGGAGGGCGCGAGGACGCTGGGGTTGGGAGGGGCCCGCTGCCACTCTGCCGCCTTGGAGGGGGATGCCCAAGGAGGCCAGGCTGTGAGTGGGCAAGGACAACCTCTGGCGCCGACACGTACCGAAAGAGCCGTAGTTGTAGCCCTCATACGGGGAGCTGCCAGGGAAGGAGTCGGCGAGCACCCGAGGGTGACCTGCAAGGAGAAATCGAGGTCCCCTCAGCTCTGGAAACAGAGAGGGGCCAAAAGCCAAGGAGAAGAGAGAAGAAAGACTCCAGAGAGACACGGAGGGGCCACGGCAGCAGCAAAGAATAAGCACCTATCCTGACAAACACACCTCACTCCCACGGCCAAAGGCTGCCCCAACCTCCCACTGTGTCCCCGTGGAAACCCTGGCCATCCTTTGTCCTCGCTATGGTGAGTGGGGGGGGAGGTCAAGGAATCGATGGGTCTAAAGGGCCAGCTAGGACAGCGAGCATCGGCCTGCCCAGGTCCCACCCAGACACCCCGGTGTGTCCGCTCCCTCCCCCATTCTGGACCTCAGCTCCTCTGCCCACAGCACCTGGAGCTTACCAAGGAGAGAAGCTGAGAGAGAAGGTCCCAAGCAGGAAGGAGGATAGACAGAGAGGGAAGGATGGAAGAAAAGGAAAGAGAATGAAAAGTTAATAATCGCCCAGACGGTGAGCTACATCGCCTGAGGCGGACAGTGTAGCCAGACCCAGAGAATGAATCCAGTGGCAGCCGTTAAGGTGGGCACGTTAGGGTCACAGGGGTACAACAGCCCAGGCCCGTTTCCATCTGTAGAGTGTTATTCCCAGTCTGAATATCCAGAAGCCCCAGCTGGCCTTTCCTCCTCCAGCCCCCAAGGGATCCATCCACCAAAGCACAGAGCAAACTCTGCCCTCCCTGCCCAGGCCCTCTGGAGGTACCGCTTTCGGGGCAGGCTCGGTCCATGGCCACCAGAAGCGTCTTCTTCCTCTGCCTGCAGGAACAGAATCCAGAGGCAAACCAGAGGGGCAGGACGAGGATCCCTCCAATGCTGGGCCGGCCTGCCTTCCACCCTCTCCACCCCATAACCCTGTCCTCCATCTGTGATCTTAAGGTTCCTCCCAGGCTGGGAAGCAATGCGCGGTTTCCCTACTTGGGTAGGAGGTTGAGGGCAGGGGTTGGTTTCCAGAGGAGAGGCCCATGGACCACCGACCCTAAAAGTTAGGACCCATCTTCCTATGCCCCATGATGGTGCGGACCGTGACCCCGGGCTGGCTCAAATCCTGCCAGGCCAGCTCCCCTGCTCGACCCACCCCAGTAAAGGGGGACGCCCGGCAGCCCCGCTTTACCTCCAATTCTCCCAACAGGCCAGGAGGATAGTCAGCAGATAGAAGGAGAGAAATATGCCCAGGCAAAAGAGCATACCACCAACATAGGCCTCAGCTGTCAGGGGGTAAGGAGGAAGATGAGCACACCAAACCTTCCAAGACCACTCGTCATGGCAGACAAGGGCCCAGCCACAGCTCCCCCCACCTCTTCCCTCAGTGATCTGGTGGGGTGAGCAACAGGCAGGTCCCCAAATATGCCAAACTCTGACATGATTCCTGCCTTCACTCCTGTTGCTCCCTCTGCGAGAATTTTCTCCTCTCCCTCTTCCTCAAAAACTCCATCCTGTTTTCAAACACAGCTTCCTTCCAAACACAGCTCGGGGGGCGGGGGGGCGTTGTGTCCTCCAGGAAAGCTGCTCTGTCCTGTGGTCCCAGTGACCTGTCCTTTGCCCTTCATAGCTGCGAGCCAGAGGACTCAGCCAGAGCATAACACTCGGCACACAGAAGGTGCTCGATAAATATTTGTTGGATGAAGAATCCATACAAGAGAGGCAGCTTCTTTCCCCTCCCATTACAATCCCTTATTTTTATCTTATATTTTCCAGTTTACAAAGGGCTCCATCCAATCACTCAGTAAATATTTATCGAGCATGACTAAGGGGCCTACTACTTTCCTGCTAATTTTGTGCTAAACCTCACAACTTGGTAAGACCCCGGGACAGATCCTATTACCCACCACGATAGAGACAGGGAAACTGAGGCTCAGTGAGATTGCACTGCTCACAAGGGGCGGAGAGAGAACAGGAACTCAGTACATCAATTGTTAGTCTCGACCCTACCACATCACTCAGGGACCCACCTCCGGGCCCGCCCATCGTGAAGGGTGCCAAGAACACTCCCCCTTCCAGGTCCGCCAGTCTGCCATGTAGGTCTCCCTCCCCCTCCCCCAGGTCTGAGAGGCAGAGCCACTCAGCCACCCACACTCACACGTGACTGCTCGAGATACCACCACGGACAGGGTTTTCTGGCGGTGCCCTTGATCAACCGGTTCATCTGGAAGCAAAATATCAAACAAGTAGCCGCCTGGAGCTTGGCTAAAGTTTGTAGGACCAGGCCTGGGAGAGTCCAGGGCCAAAACCCCAAACCCGGCAGAAACCCCACCCCGCATCAGCCACACAGGTTCTTCTACCTCCCGGGGAGCAACCGAGCCCTCCCCAACCCTGGCCAGGCCAGGGCACACCGTGTACCTTCTACAAAGGGGTAGAAAGGCAAGGAGCCCCCACAGGCCTGGTCTTCAGTCTTCACCACCACCACCACGTAAAAGCTATTGCTGGGGAAGTCTTTGCGCTGCAGGATGATGATGATGATGATGATAAAACCGTCATCACCATCGATCATCATCAAAATCAATCAACAAAATACACACATAATTTTACTCAGTCCTCACTAAGATTCCTACGAAATAAGTACTATCATTATCCCTATGAGGCCTTAGGGTTACACAGCCGGTAAGTGGTAGAGTTATCTGGCTCTAGAGCCCAAACCATGACCCTATGCTCTAGCCAGGTGAGCAAATGTGTGTATGACCTACCACCGTGAAGCCCATGGGTGCCCCATTACGGTCTGGGCATCAGCCAGGAGAACAAGTGGAGGGGCCCCTACTGCCTCCTAAGAGTTGCAACTCACATGTTGTGAAGTGAACATAATATGGCTTCACCCTCCCTGCCCCCAGCACAGGTTTTAGCCTTCACCAAGGGCAACACTCAGCATCAGCCAGGGCCCTTTTCCCTCTCTCTCTC